CTAGAGTTGTTGTAACCTGAAAATGGAGCTTGCTATAAGAGGTGCTATACAATATTTTAAGGAGTTGGGTGCAGTGACTTGTCCCCACAGCTACCTGAAAGGAGACATAACTTAAGACTTTGAGTACAGCTATTCAACACCTGAACTTCCTGTCATGTTGTCCCATTGCACTGCCAACCAGACCAGTTCCTTATTAGCTCATGAGTGCAGAAGAGCTTGGAGCGTCAAAGCATAAGACTTCCTTTACCCTTTTTATGAAGCAGTAGTAGAGTCTATAGGTAAGGGTGAGGCTACTTTCTAGTTTAAAACTAAATTTTACATTTTTCAGACCCCACAGTGGCTCAGTCAGGCTGGACACAGGTAATGTAGGTCTGGACTCAAGGGTCCAGCTTGAAGGCAGTGAAAATTTGGAGTCATTTAAACAAAAGCTTCTGAGATGTCAACCTTAGAAATGAGCTGTTTCCAAGGTTACAGAAGTCTGCTATGAAGGACCACACGTATGCCAGATGGCAGTTTGTCGATTGCCTTCCCTGCTAGGTAGTTAGGGTTTATTTTAGAGTGTACCACATAGTTGAATGAGTCTAAGATGCCAGCCTCCAGCAAGTTCAGCCTTAAAAATGTGACACAGTAAGAATCCTTTACTTTCCTGCCAAAAAAATGTCTAGGAACTACTCTTCCCCCCTACCGCCCCTTCTTATAGAGGCCTCAAAAAATTGACCTGAGCCAAAAGAAAAACAGAGTGGTGTTTTCTTTTGTGATGGGCTTGCAAGAGAAGGAAAAAAGAATTCTTCTAAGTAGGAGAGAGCTGGAGGGGGTGGGGTGGGGTGAGGGCAGATCTGAAGGACAAGTGGATGCATAGTGGGCTGGAAGCTACACTGCCTGGCCTTGGTGCTCCATGCAGAAGGTAGGAAAGGAGCTGCAAGTAGTTGAGCCCAAGGTAAGCAACTGCCCCAGGAGACCTGAAGTACAAACTATTCACCACTTCCAAGTCAATCAGATGCCAGTTCCCAAACAGCAAGGCTTGGGTTGTCTCATGCAGAAAGTGCTACTTTGACTCCTGGCCCTCCAGTGCTAGAAGCTGGCTATTCAAACTCTCTCAGGGAGATGTGGCCACACCAGTAAATGACTGCAGCCTTACATTTTCGTGCTATATATACAGTACAGGTGAGAGCAAGGGACTCTCAGTAGTGGCTTCTACACCATCACCAACCTAGGTAAGGACAATTTCAACTTTTCTGTGGGAATTAGCACTGGAAGTGTGTTTTGGAGACTCAGTGCACTGGATTCTTGAGGTTAAATCTACAAGAACATTATTAGTGTGTTGCTGCCTCGGGTGTAGGTTGTAGCCATGTTGGCTTCAAGACATAGGCAGACAAGGTTCTTTGGGTAAATTCTGTATCTTTTATTAGACCAACTCAGATGATTCTCTGGCTTCTAGCTGCTTTACCCTCCACCCAGGAACAGCAGAGACCAACTGCAGGTGCTTCCTCAGCCTGATTAAAGGTATTTGTGCCCAAAAGCTTGCAAAAATCTTTTTTCCAAATATTTGAGTTGGTCTAATAAAAGATATTGGATTTACCTGAAGAACCTTGTCTGCCTGCTGCCTCATGGCATTCTCAGGCTCCTCATCCTACATCCAGGGCTGTTGTTGGGGTGGGGGAGCAGATTGGGGTGACCGTCCTGGGCCATGTGCTTTGGGGGGCCCCGCGGAGCGGTGACTCTGCACTGCCACTGGCTTCACATCCAGCTCCTTAGACCCCTGCCAAATCTGCTGCTTAGCATCATCCTCCCCCTGCCTCAGCTTGAGTTGGGAAAGTGATGTTCCTGCAGTCAGGCTTCACAGTCATGAACATGCCCCTTGTTCAGAGTTAGGTGTCTAAGCCAAGGCAGCCTTTTTTCACAAGGGGAAAAAAAAAGTTGCTATACCTTATGAACAAACTGTGTAGTGATCAGAGCACCAGGGTACTGAGCTGCAAGTCCCTCCTGCCTGTTTTGGAGAAGGGACTCGAATCTTTGAGTGTCCTAACCCCCAGAGCTGTAGGATATCTTGCAGTGGGTCCTCCATGGTTTCCTGTTGAAGCTGTTCCACCTTGTGTAGAGTCCTCACATTTTGCAGCAGACTGGCAGTGACTGACTCTGTAAAGGGAATATCCCCAAGGATTTTGGTATTGGGCATTAGCCATTTTGTGCATATGGAGTTCTAGGAGCTGCCTGGATTTTACCAGCCCCATCAGACACCTACACTGTTATAACTACAGGTGAATGGGGGTTCTGAGGACCTTAGTAACACCCACTTGTTGGATTTAGCACTTGAACACAGATGATCTGTTCAGGTCCCTCCTGACCCTAGCTACTATGAAACTTTTCAGTGTCACGGCTGAATTCCAGCAGGAATTAAGCATCTAAATAACTTAAGATTTCTGAGCCTTTGTGATCTGAGAACAAGAACAAATGGCACATTCACTTTAGTGGTAGAAGCCACAAACATCAGAAATCAAAACCGTAACAAAGGGAGTGGAAGAGCTAAGAAACCTTTGTGGGCAGAGTTCAGTAGGGAAAACACAGCTAGCTGAGAGTGGCTTCAAGTCATGTAGGTACATGAAATTGGAAAGGCAGCAAAAAACTGAATGTAACAGGTGGAAATGTCATGGCTTGATAAGTAAATAGTCCACTGGGTTAGACTGGAGCAGGACTCAGCTGTTCACATTGTGGATGGCTTTCCTGGAAAGAACAGGTCACAGCTCTAAGACTGGACACTGCACAGACTAGAGAGGAAGAGCAGAAACCATTTAACATGAGCAGACACATCACTTCACTCTTTCTTTTTTCCTGCAGGTACGTGCTGTATCATCTCACTCTGCACTTGCGTGGCTGGGATCAATTTTGAATTGTCTCGCTATCCTCGCTTTGTATATGGGCTGCCAGAGGACATCAGCCATGGCTATGGCTGGTCCATGTTCTGTGCCTGGGGTGGCCTAGGACTTACTCTCCTGGCTGGATTCTTCTGCACATTAGCTCCATCACTCACGCCTTCTCATGCATCCGTACAGAAACCCAGACAGGAAAATGGGGCTGTGTGACCACAGGAGATGAGAAAAGAGACTCTCAGAAGCACAGCCTAGGCAAAGCTGAGGGTTAACACCAGTGTGGAGATGGTGGTGGTGAAACAGCTCTGGAACAAAGGAAGCACAAAGCCTTGGCATAAGCCTGCCTTGTGGTTCTACTACAGAACTTCTGTGTTGGACACTGGTGCTACAAAGAACCCAGGTTGTAAATTCTTGTTGAATTGCTCCTTGGTGTTGTAAGGGGAACAATTTTGCTTTTATACATGAGGGATTAATCCCAAAGGTTTTCCAAGTCCTGTTTGCACCCCCTTTGTCCTGTTCGTGTTTAGTTGTAAGGGATGTTGTCCCTTGGTGCATTGCTCCAGGTCTGTGTAATACTGACCAAATCTGTGGACAGCTAGGACAAAATATGTGGCTGACCTGTCTGCAGCTAAACATCCTTGACTCAGGTCTTCACTTCCCCAAGAAACTTTGCAGTCTAGGTAGAATAAATAATCCATCCTGCACTGATTCATCTACAGCAGAAAATTACACTGTGCCACTTTTGAAGTTGTTTC